ATATCGTTCAACTTCCTGAGGGTGCTACTTCTAGCTACATGGGAATCCAGAGTCCCAGCCAACCTGGGTAAGTTCATGGCAGGCAGTCTCAGAGCAGCTTCAGGGGCCATGTCACACTATGGTTCAGAGACCCAGAATGAGTCTCTTTCCCAGCTCTCTGACCCTGGGCACCTGTAGTTGTTACATGCTGTCAAGTCAGTTCTGATTCATAGCGAACTTGAATAGGGTTTCCAAGGAGTAGCTAGTGGGTCTGAACCTCCAACCTTGCAGATAACAATCCAATGCTTACCCTGCAGCACGATACCATGACCCTGGGCACTTGATGCACACCAGTTGCCTCTGTCTTCTCTGACCTCACCTGCTCTGGTTGGTGGTGGGTGGCATCTCTTCTCTTCTTCTAGCACAGACACAGAAGAGTCACTTTATATTGTTTGCTTTTTTAGTCATATTTTAAAATAAACTTAAATATGTATTTTACCTCTTGCAGATTTGAATTAATAATCATTTGGAGGATTCAAATGGATGACAAAGGGAAAGTTTTGCCAACATTGGATCTTTTAAACAAATTCCCAAAGCAAGGTAATCTGGAATTGTATATAGGAATCTTCACATAGATGTTCTGAGGCAATTTTGGAACATGCTGGATAAAGCCTTTGACTTTTTTTTCTTTTCTTTTTTAAAATTGTGAATTAGGTGAAGATTTAGGATAGAGCACTTTTTCATTCAACTCATACATTTTGTTTCATATCATTAATTGGAATTCCCACAATGTAACATCACTTTTCCCACTTCCTCCCTGATTCCTGCTTTCATGTCTCTTTCTTTCCTAACGCTTCTGAACTTGTCTTTCTTAATCCTCTGAGCTGTGTCCTTGAGTAAATGCTGCATATTTGTTCTCAAATACTTGATAATTCTAAGGAGTTCATACCTCTTAGTGCTATTACTCCCTTTTTAAACGTATTGTTGGGCTGAAAATTGAATCATAGAGGTAAGTTCATTTCTACACCTAAAGGATGACTAAGGGTTCCACCAGTTTAGTGTCCACGCGAAGACAGAATAGAAAATAGGAGAAGTGGACCACTACTGAATGGTTAGTCACTGAAAATCTTGAGAAGCAGTGGAACATTGTAAGATATGGTGCCAGAAGTTGAGCCCCTCAGGTTGGAAGGGACTCAAATTACAACAGGAGAAGAGCTGTATCTTCAAAATAGAGTTGACATTAATGACATATAAGCTTTCGGGACCTTCATTTGCTGATGGGGACTAACTCAAAATGAAGAGAAACAGCTGCAAACATCCATTAACAATCATAATGTGGAATGTACAAATTATGAATCTAGGAAACCTGGAAGTTGTCAAAAATAAAATGGAATGCATAAAGAT